ACAACATGCACCGGCATAGACATACGCATATACAGATACGCACGTACGTGTATGTATACGCTTGAATCTATAAGGTAATTTATGTTTTTGGATATCTTCAAGAATATGAAATGGTTTTTCCAAGTAATTTTCGAATTATCATTTTCAAAAATTTCTATTAATGAATTTACTCAACATTAGCACTATTCTAATTTCAGTAATTCTGGAATTTCAGAAAAAAAAATTTATTATTGACATAAAAATGTTCAAAAAATAAAGGAGCAAATAATAATTAATTAATGAAATACTTTTAAATGGATAATATAGAAATTGAATAGTAAGAAAATTTATCATTAACACTTAATATCTGATAAATGATTTTATTAACATTTGATAAATGTTGGTACTAATTTCTAATAATTTATATCATTGATTCGTAATAATTAATAGATCATTTATTAATGATTATTGATTCAGAAAAAATGGATAGCAATTAAATTTCAGTATGAAAAAAAAAGGTACGATATAATTTGTTAAAAAGAAATTGCCAAAAAAACCAGAAAAAGAGAATGTTGGTAACTTTTTGCACTTTAAGAAATACTGTAATTAGTTAATTAAAACATTGTAATTGGATGTAAGAAATGATGTAATTAAGCAGAAATATTACAAATATACAGTACTATATAATGAGTGGCGAAAAGGCAAAAAAGGGAAAAGAATTTTTTGAGAAAAAATTGAAGAAAAGTTTAACAAAATATAAAAATATAAGTTAAATATTTCTATGTGGTATTAAAATAAGAACAATTACATTCCATTTCATTTCATTTCATTTCATTTCATTTCATTTCGTTTCATTAAACCGGTACTGAATGGAATATTATGTATGAATGAAAGATAAAATATACCATATGAGCTTTATCGGAAGAAGATAAGGTAAAGAAAGTTATAGATGATAATAGAAATTATTTTTAGTTTGTAATATATCATAATTATTGTTAATTATAATCATGAAATACAATCGTGTTATGTTTTGATTAACAATTTTTCATTCTTAATTTATTTATAATCACAATAAAGTAGATTGCTGAAAACGAGGAAGAAATCATTGAATAGTTGGATTGAAGTGAAAAGAGCGAAAAAAGGAACCGGATTAAGTTTATGATTAGTTGTAATTATTGATATTTACATTTGCAGAGTGACAAAATCATGGTGACAAAAATTAATGATTACACGTATTCAAAAGTTATGTACAAAATAATGGTAAGTTTTTTTTAATTTCTTATTCCAACTAGCTATTATATCTGTACAAAATTCATAAAATTATTTTAAATTTATCGGGATATATTAGATTTTAAAGTGCTAAAATTGAAACATAGCACAATGTTTACTTATTTAGTTATAGCTGAAAGTGAATCAACTGGATAGACCATGTAATAATAATAAATAA